ACCTGCTATCTGAGCGATCGCCGATCTGTATGAATTTAGTGACCCATAAGCTGACCCCTTTTTAAAGTGAAAGGTCAAAAACTCATAAGACATTTGGCACAGTAATTTTATATGGATTAGTGTTAGCCTTACAACAGAATTCCCACCATAATCTAAGTCCTAAATTATATTGTTTTAATGTGGAAGAAGTTATTGAACATAAAAATATGTATAAGGAGTCTTTTGGCACGTCTCCCTTTAATAGTGCTTTCCTGATAATCTCCCTGCCACCAGGGAAAGGTTTTTCCACAGAGGGTGAGGCGTTCTTTTAAAAGAAATTAAAAATTTGTTAGATTTAAAAATTAAAGGCTCACTTATTAATAAGGACTGAAAAATTGGAAACCATGGTTGAAAGTTCCAAAGGTGAACAACCACTATTCCTACAGCTTTGTCTTCTATAATTTGTTGAAGTACCCTCAATACCAAGGAAAAGGGGGGAAATGCGTAGAAATCAAAATAGCTCCAATCTACTGTAAAAGCATCAATATTTGATGCTTCTGGATCTTGTCTCCATTAAATAAAAATAGAACATTTTTTATTTAATCTACTAGCAAAAAGATCAATCTTAGGTTTTCCAAATACATCTACAATTTTTTTAAACGAGTCTTTTGACAAACTCCACTCCGTCTCTTTGTGAACCTGGCGAGACGCTTTAATGGCCTCTCGGTTATCTTTAGAATTTATATAAGTAGCAAATAAATAATTATTTCTTTGCTCACACCACGTCCAGATCTGCCTTGTGATCGAATTTAATTTTTCGAACCGAACACTGCCCATTCTATTGATACAAGAAATCGCTGTAGTATTATCTATGCGACACAAAATATTACAATCTGATAGTTCTGATGTAAAACTTTTTATGCCAAAAAGTAATGCGAGAAGATCTAAATAATTTATGTGGTGTTCTTTTTCACTTTTAGACCAAAAACCATATGTATGGTTTTCCCTGCAGTATGCTCCCCAGCCTGTCTTAGATGCATCCGTACATAATTCTAACTGGTAATTTTTAATTGTTATGTGATTAATTGCATTTGGAATTTTATTAAAAAACCAATTCAAATCAACTAATAATGGTTCTGTTATTTTCATATTTTTGTTGTAATTTCCACCTGATTGCCTCAATGCTAAATATTTATGACGTCCAAATAATTTTATATGTACAAAACCAAATTTTATAGCCGGGCAAGCAGAAACAAGAGTTCTCAAAAATTTTGCAAACTTTGTAATTTTACACTCCGGTAGTTGCAAAAAATACTGAAGCATTTTAGAATCTTCAATTTTTTGCTGTTAGGTAATGTTACTGTTAAATTATTGGAGTCAAAGGTAAACCCTAAATATGTGCACACATTTGTAGGAGTAATGTTGCTTTTAGTCTGATTAATTAAAAAGCCTAAATGTGTTAGTACATATTTCCATGGTTAATTTTACATTATGTTCATACTCTTTATATGATTTCCCTACAATCAGAAAATATACTCATAAAAGAACTCCCTTTTCTCTTAGAATTCCTACAATAGGTTTTAATATCTCTGTAAATATTCTAGGTGCACAACTTAAACCAAAAGGCAAACAGTTGTATTCGTATAAAGTGCCATTAAATATAAATCTTAAATATTTACGATGAGATGTTTGTACTGGTATTAAATGGTAAGCATCTTTTAAATCAATTTTTGACATGAAACAACCTTGAGATATAAGTCTGACCACTACTTTATTGACTTCTATCTTAAAATGTACATTTTCAACAAATTTATTAAACTTTTTAAGATATAAAACGGTATGATCCATCTGATTTTGGAATTGCGAAGGAAATATACTGATCATCACTATGATCAACAATAGATATTGCACCACTAAGCATTAATTTATTTATAAGGTTTGTAATAATTTTTACTTCTTTAGTTGACCGTATATCTTCAGAAGCTACAACTGTTTGTTTTGGTTTCTTTACAAGTGGGATAACCATACCTCTTATGTATGTTAATACCTTTTTGTGCACCGAAAGTTGGTGCCATCTTTGATAAAAAATTTTTAAACGACCACATATTTCACTAACGTCAAGTTCTGTCCCTTGGTTTAGTAATGACGTCTTTTGTCGTTCTGGTAATTCTCTTTTCTCCATTGTGGTTGTCGAATCTTTTTCTGATTGGAGTGTGAAGGAGCTCAGCTGTCCACTTCTCCTGGCTCCATATTTGAGGGAAAATGAACTCCTGTAGTTTCCCTGAATTCTTGATGTAGATGGTTGTACATTGATTCTGTTTTTACCTTATTATCAAGATCATTACTAAAAGAGATTCAGTGATTGGTGTATCCTTTACTACCTCCGCCATTTCTTTGTTTAAATTAATGACTATTAGTTCTCTTCGTGATATTGACTCTGAATAATTAATGTTTGCCAATAAGCGGCTGGCATCGCTAAGTAGCCTAATATACTCTTTATTTCCTCCCTTATCTCTGCGAAGTATGGAGTCACTTACTGCTATTTTTACTTCCGGCAATTTTCAGGAGGCAGATATTTGCTTGTAAGGTCTTTGCGGATATCTTCCTCTAGTCCAGAAGTTAAAATATGACCCCATCGAGCGGCAATATCTGTTTGTATGGGGCTTGCAAATGATATTTTTACTATATTGTCATCACCCAAAATTGATAAAATGTCTTCTTGCAATTCAGAAGGTACACTACCTTCTGTCTGACCTGAAAACCAAATATTTATTTCAAACCATATGCTTAAGTTTGTCACTACAAACAGTAAGGTATTATTTTTGAATAATTGTTAATTATCACAAACAATATTTATTAGCAGGATAAGTTCCCCGAATATTTCCTCAGACGGTATTTTTAATAATTGTTACCACAAACAATATTCATTATCGAATATTTGTCATCACAAACAAATATTTACTTAGATAATTTCCAAAGAGAAAGAAGAAAAATGAAAGAATTTATTAAATATTCCTATATTCTTAATATTCGTCATCACAGACAAATATTAATTGTGAATATTTCGGTCAGGTGTCAACACAAACATTCGTCATCACCGACAAATATGAATTGTCATCACAGACAAATATTAATTGAAATATTTTTTATTTTCACATGCGATAATATTTATTACCACCTACCTTTAAGTGCTTGTATATTTTTATCCTGATTCTCGTCTGGGACACAATTTGAACCAACACTTGAAACACTTTCATCATTCACATTAGGTATCCGAAATTTCTGCTTGGGTATCACTTTCCCAGCTATCGGTGCTATTTTGATAAGATGAATGACGCTGTGAACGATTTTCAATTAAATCCAATCTTTTTTCGAGGCTCCTTAAAATTTTATGTATCCCTTTGTTTGAGCGATCTGTTGATCGGCTTCTTTTACGTTTTTCCAACTGTTTAGACATTATTTTTCGGTAATTCGTTGCCGAATTAATTTTATGCGCTGTGTGAAATATGCACAGAAACCGAAAACTGACGGTGTGGATGTGAAGAGGCCAGATTGTTTATACTTTGAAGTGTGAATGATTAGCCAGAGACGGAGGTACTACAATTTATTTATTTATGAGATGAGGCCGAATATAATATAAAAAAGGTTGAGTTTACCGAAAGTACAAGCTGATTATAGCCGCAAATGTCAAAAGTGGAACAACAAATTTCGGTATAGCAGTGTTGGCATGTTTTTAGAATGTAGATGTTTTATACTTCAAATATAAAAACATAAATAATAATAATAATAATAACGTTTATTTCCATGAAATATACAATTAAAATATTACAATAAAATAATTAAATGACAATAAAATTTTAAAAAAATATTACTTTTACTTTGTAGTTCTGTAATTGGTTCAAGGTAAGTAAACAGTAGTGCCCATTAAAACAATTATATAAAGCTTTAGAAAAGTACATTTTGTTTATATTGTGTTATGAATTCTGCAATTTTTGATTTATATAAAACAACAATGAGTAAGTATTTGTTTCTTTGGAGATTAATTGCAGTTAATTATAAGAAATTATTTTGGCAATTACCCTTTTATAGATTAGTGGATAGATTTGACAATCGTGAAATCAGCAGTTGCCAGATGTTTGCAATTAATCTCGAAAGAGACAAATATTTATCCATTATTGCTTCATATAAATTAAAAATTGCAGAATTCATAAAAAAATATAATCAAAATGTACTTTTTAAAAGCTTTCTCTCTTTATGTTTGAAGCATATATTATTATGCTTATAAAAACATCCCAACACTGCCAAACCCAAATATTTTTTACATTTGTGGCTATATTCAGCTTGTACTTTCGGTAAACTCAACCATAAAAAATTTAAGCCAAAAAGTTTATTTTAATTACTTATTTTTTTAACTTTGAACTTTAAAAAATTCACAATTGTTAAATCCCACAATTTGATTGTTTAAAGACTGGGCATATTTCAAATTATGAATACTTGTGGATTATGCAATATTTAGTTTTATCTGAGAACTAATAATGAGCATACATTTTTTCATAATGAAATAGGGTCTATTTATCAATTTCCAGAAATATTTCCATTTTTTTTAAGAATCCTTTCAGTTAGCTTGTTTGAATTTGGCATATAATCTTATTGTTTACTGTTTTTTGTTTCTTATTTCTTCTACTTACCTTTAATATTTGTAATTTGTCTTACAAGTGAACAGTAAAACTAAACTGCTGTTTACAATAAAACAAACTGAAAATATATTCTATAACAAACATATTATAAGGAACAAAGAAAATTATAATATAAGTCAGGCTATTATCTTAGAAAAAAATTATGACAGGGGAGGTCCTAGATGACTAGGACTTGGCTTTCTTGATAACTTGTGAATTGGTGTGAAACTACTTCAACCAAGGTATCTTGCAGTGAAACATATAGGGCATCTCAACAAGAACAACTTAAAATTATTAAAAACTGTATCTACAAAAGATTAATAATTAGTATTATATCTGTTTTAGAATTGGAGGTGGTACAACTTGGCATTCTTCTGGTCTAATAGGTGTCTTCAAACCTAGTTTAGCACAAGTAAAATTAACCAAATCTAGTGTATCATTGTATAAGGAATTAGAACAAAAAGGATTATCCACAGGATGGAAAGAATGTGGTAGTTTAAACCTAGCCAGATCGAGAGATAGAATGACAGTATTCCGAAGAATGAAAGCACAATCTGTGTAAGTTAATATGTATACAATATACTATTTAATCAAGATCTAGATATAGGAATACATAAGTAATAATAATGATTTAATCTAATTTTTCATTTTGGGTACTACGGTAATCTATCTATTAATTAGACAACATATTGCTTCTTATTGTGTTTTGATTCTTTATTTTTAGGTCAAAGCTAGAATATTATTTTATATATTTTTGATTTGTTACAAGTTAACTAAGTACTTATAAAAAGATTCTTTCAATGTAAGGTAAAAGCCACAGAAAGACAACAACACAAGAAAGAGACAGTGAAACAAATATAACTGAAGAAGTGATTCATGTACTGAAAACTGGGTCCAGGCGAGATGCCTATCAAACCATTAAAGTTGCTTCATGAAAATAGTATTTGAATGTTTTCTAAACTATTTAATCAGGTTTTTTAAACTGAAGAAGTAATGGATGACTAGATAACTTCAGCTTTCATTCTAGTTCTGAAGAAAAAGATTGCTAAAGATCATACAACAATAAGTTTAATGAGTCACACAGTAAAATTGTTCTTAAAAGTTCTACATAACTGTGTATATCTAAAATTAGATTATGACATAAGCAACAAACAGTAGTTTTCAGAATGAAATGCAAAGTTAAAAAGCTTTATTCAGTTTAAACATACTAACAGAAAACTGCTAGGATGTGGACAAAGATATGTTATGCATGCTTTATAGATTATTATGAAATAGATAAATTTATTATGAAAACCTCTTTAATAGGATAAGATACGATTAACTCATGGCAATTTCAAAATAAAAACAAATAGATAAAAGAAATTTAGAAATTATAGAAAACATAAAACCAGAGAGCACACATAAAACTAGACTTTAAACATTACTCTGTAACTTGCACTCTGAAGCGATCATGTAGGGGCTCTGGAAAATGGGACTACCTAGCCTTTCTCACATTTGTTTATTTGTAGTGATTTATGTGGCTCAACCATAGTAACTTGGTGTCAACAATAATACCTAAATACTTAAACTCTTTAACTACTGACAAGGTAGGATAGGGACACAGAGTTAATCTCTCTGGAGCACGTAGTCTATGACTCGGCGGTAATTGTTCGGGCATCTGGTTTACGCATTGTCAGCGGCCATATTTTAAGTTCACAGTCACGTCGTTGGACGATTATTTTGTGTTTGTTATTGTCAGATCTAGAGGTGGTTGATCCAAGTATTTTTGTGGATCAGGTCAAACTGATACGCGTAAACAAAAATACCTGTTAAAAAATACTGGTTTGGAAATCAGTTTGTTATCATTCGTTTAATAGATATCTAAGCATAACGATAACATTATTTGTATTTTGTTAGATTTCTTTATAGTTATTAAAATCACTGTTTAACTTCTAATACTTAAATTACTGTTATTCAGAGATTCCTTAAAAAGTTCATAAAAAATGGCGATAATCTTGCCTACTTCACGCCAATTGCCATCTGTTGATATTTATCTAAAGCTTTGTAAACGTTAAGAAATGTACGAGAAAAATTAAGGTCAATGCAATGAAACTTGCAATGAAAATTAAATTTTTTTAACATATTTTCAAAAATACAAGGAAGTTTCTGCAATATCTGTAATTAGAACTTTTCTTTGTATGACTGGAAGGCTTCCCCGTGTGGATTAGGAATAACAGGATCTGCAACGCTAATTTTAAGTTTAAATGAAGGGGGTTTATTAACTGAAAGTGGCGAACTTACTTTGCACTTTTTCGGCTGTTGGAAATGAGGACGTGGTACCCAATTTTTATTACTCATGGAAGAGGAAATGTTCGTATCAATATTACCATTCAGCTCAGGGAAATTATTTAGGTTATTTAAAATATCCAAATTATTATGTGTTACTATTTTAGCGTAAGACGGATTTCTTACAATACCTTCAGCTTCTTTAAATGATACATTTTTTCATACATTATTTTTTTACAACAATCGTAAAATAGTTTCGAAACACAATTCAGATTTCTGCTTTATAATCTGAGCCTTCTAAAGATTGCAAGGCAAACAGACGTTGATAAAAGATGTTAAAAGAGACATGGGGAATCTAAAATTTGCATTCCACGACATGTCTTTTACAACTAAGCAGAAATCCTTAGCGAATTGTGCTTCTTGTACTCACACAGAGCAAATCCGAATAAAATGAGAAAAGGCAGCAAATATTTGATTTCACGCAAACAAATCATATGTATCTCTTGATACGTATTTCGACCTAATAGGTCTCGTCAGAAGAGCTATTCATAGGGCTTCTCAACGTGAAAAATCAATATTTTCTGCCTTTTAAGAAGCAACAATAACATGGCTTCAATACGGACGCAGTAGCGACATCTAATTAACACAATCGTAAAATAGTTTCGAAACACAATTCAGATTTCTGCTTTATAATCTGGGCCTTCTAAAGATTGCAAGGCAAACAGACGTTGATAAAAGATGTTAAAAGAGACATGGGGAAACTAAAATTTGCATTCCACGACATGTCTTTTACAACTAAGCAGAAATCCTTAGCGACTTGTGCTTCTTGTACTCACACAGAGCAAATCCGAATAAAATGAGAAAAGGCAGCAAATATTTGATTTCACGCAAACAAATCCTATGTATCTCTTGATACGTATTTCGACCTAATAGGTCTCGTCAGAAGAGCTATTCATAGGGCTTCTCAACGTGAAAAATCAATATTTTCTGCCTTTAAAGAAGCAACAATAACATGGCTTCAATACGGACGCAGTAGCGACATCTAATTACAACAATCGTAAAATAGTTTCGAAAACACAATTCAGATTTCTGCTTTATAATCTGAGCCTTCTAAAGATTGCAAGGCAAACAGACGTTGATAAAAGATGTTAAAAGAGACATGGGGAATCTAAAATTTGCATTCCACGACATGTCTTTTACAACTAAGCAGAAATCCTTAGCGAATTGTGCTTCTTGTACTCACACAGAGCAAATCCGAATAAAATGAGAAAAGGCAGCAAATATTTGATTTCACGCAAACAAATCCTATGTATCTCTTGATACGTATTTCGACCTAATAGGTCTCGTCAGAAGAGCTATTCATAGGGCTTCTCAACGTGAAAAATCAATATTTTCTGCCTTTTAAGAAGCAACAATAACATGGCTTCAATACGGACGCAGTAGCGACATCTAATTACAACAATCGTAAAATAGTTTCGAAACACAATTCAGATTTCTGTTTTATAATCTGAGCCTTCTAAAGATTGCAAGGCAAACAGACGTTGATAAAAGATGTTAAAAGAGACATGGGGAATCTAAAATTTGCATTCCACGACATGTCTTTTACAACTAAACAGAAATCCTTAGCGAATTGTGCTTCTTTTACTCACACAGAGCAAATCCGAATAAAATGAGAAAAGGCAGCAAATATTTGATTTCACGCAAACAAATCCTATGTATCTCTTGATACGTATTTCGACCTAATAGGTCTCGTCAGAAGAGCTATTCATAGGGCTTCTCAACGTGAAAAATTAATATTTTCTGCCTTTTAAGAAGCAACAATAACATGGCTTCAATACGGACGCAGTAGCGACATCTAATTACAACAATCGTAAAATAGTTTCGAAACACAATTCAGATTTCTGCTTTATAATCTGAGCCTTCTAAAGATTGCAAGGCAAACAGACGTTGATAAAAGATGTTAAAAGAGACATGGGGAATCTAAAATTTGCATTTCACGACATGTCTTTTACAACTAAGCAGAAATCCTTAGCGAATTGTGCTTCTTGTACTCACACAGAGCAAATCCGAATAAAATGAGAAAAGGCAGCAAATATTTGATTTCACCCAAACAAATCCTATGTATCTCTTGATACGTATTTCGACCTAATAGGTCTCGTCAGAAGAGCTATTCATAGGGCTTCTCAACGTGAAAAATCAATATTTTCTGCCTTTTAAGAAGCAACAATAACATGGCTTCAATACGGACGCAGTAGCGACATCTAATTACAACAATCGTAAAATAGTTTCGAAACACAATTCAGATTTCTGCTTTATAATCTGAGCCTTCTGAGTGTTTCGAAACTATTTTACGATTGTTGTAATTAGATGTCGCTACTGCGTCCGTATTGAAGCCATGTTATTGTTGCTTCTTAAAAGGCAGAAAATATTGATTTTTCACGTTGAGAAGCCCTATGAATAGCTCTTCTGACTAGACCTATTAGGTCGAAATACGTATCAAGAGATACATAGGATTTGTTTGCGTGAAATCAAATATTTGCTGCCTTTTCTCATTTTATTCGGATTTGCTCTGTGTGAGTACAAGAAGCACAATTCGCTAAGGATTTCTGCTTAGTTGTAAAAGACATGTCGTGAAATGCAAATTTTAGATTCCCCATGTCTCTTTTAATATCTTTTATCACGTCTGTTTGCCTTGCAATCTTTAGAAGGCTCAGATTATAAAGCAGAAATCTGAATTGTGTTTCGAAACTATTTTACGATTGTTGTAATTAGATGTCGCTACTGCGTCTGTATTGAAGCCATGTTATTGTTGCTTCTTAAAAGGCAGAAAATATTGATTTTTCACGTTGAGAAGCCCTATGAATAGCTCTTCTGACGAGACCTATTAGGTCGAAATACGTATCAAGAGATACATAGGATTTGTTTGCGTGAAATCAAATATTTGCTGCCTTTTCTCATTTTATTCGGATTTGCTCTGTGTGAGTACAAGAAGCACAATTCGCTAAGGATTTCTGCTTAGTTGTAAAAGACATGTCGTGGAATGCAAATTTTAGATTCCCCATGTCTCTTTTAACATCTTTTATCAACGTCTGTTTGCCTTGCAATCTTTAGAAGGCTCAGATTATAAAGCAGAAATCTGAATTGTGTTTCGAAACTATTTTACGATTGTTGTAATTAGATGTCGCTACTGCGTCCGTATTGAAGCCATGTTATTGTTGCTTCTTAAAAGGCAGAAAATATTGATTTTTCACGTTGAGAAGCCCTATAAATAGCTCTTCTGACGAGACCTATTA